ATGTATCTATCTATCTATTTAAAATTCTATTTATTAATAGGGTCCATACTATCTAAATATCTATCTATCTATCTATCTATCTATCTATCTATCTATCTATTGGAAATCTATCTATCTATCTATCTAATAAGATCTATTTCCATGTCAATCTTTTTATCTATCTATCACAATAATCTATTAATCTATCTATCTATCTATCTTGAAAATCTATCTATCTATCTATGTCCAAATCTATCTCCATATCATTTCTTTTTATCTATCTATCTAATATCTATCTATCTATCTATCTATCTATCTATCTATAAATATATAAAATTTCTCATTATCTATTTATCTATCTATCTATCTATCTATCTATCTATCTATCTATCTATCTATCTATCTATATCAATCTATCTCCATATAAATTTATTTTTTATCTATCTATCTATCTATCTATCTATCTATCTATCTATCTATCTATCTATCTATCTGTTCCAGGAACAAAAATCTCCATGTCATTTCTTTTTATTTATCTATATCTATCTATCTATCTATCTATCTATCTATCTATCTATCTATTTATCTATTATATCTATCTATTTCCATGTCATTTCTTTTTATCTATCTATCTATCTATCTATCTATCTATTCTATCTATCTATCTATCTCAATCTATCATATGTCCTAGATCTATTTCCATATCTATTACACATATCTATTTAATTTATCTATCTATCTATCTATCTATCTATCTATAAATCTATCTATCTATCTATCTATGTCCAGATCTATCTCCATGTCATTTCTTTTATATATATATATCTATCTATCTATCTATCTATTTATCTATCTATATATATATATATCTATCTATCTATCTATCTATGTCCAGAATCTATTTCCATTTCATTTTTATCTATCTATTATTTTATATATCTATCTATCTATCTATCTATCTATAAATGTCCAGATCTATATTTTGTCATTTTTTTTTATCTATCTATCTATCTATTTTATCTATCTATCTATCTATCAAATATCTATCTATTTATCTATCTATTTATGTCCAGATCTATCTCCATTCATTTCTTTTTTTATTTATTTCTATCTATCTATCTATCTATCTATCTATCTATCTATATCTAATATCTATCTTAATCTAAAAACAATATCCAGATTTATCTCCATGTCATTTCTATTTATCTATCTATCTATCTATCTATCTATCTATCTATTTATGAATCTATCTATCATATCTTTCTATCTATTATATTTATAATGGAGATCTCGAATCAATATCATATCTTTTTATCAATCTATTCATCTATATTTATAAATGGAACATCTATATATGAACCATTATCTATCTATCTATCTACACAGATCTATCTCCATGTCATTTCTTTTTATCTATCTATCTATCTAAAAAATCTATATATCTATTTATCTATCTATCTTTCTATCTATGAGATTTATCTCCATGTCTTTTTGATTTTATCTATCTATCTATCTATCTATATAAAATAATCTATCTATATATCTATAAAATTTATAGAAATCTATCTATAAATATGTCTTTTCTTTTATTTATCTATCTATCTATCTATCTATTTATCTAAAGTATCTATCTATTATCTATCTATTCTATGTGTAAGAAAGTATGAGTTAATAATGCTAAAACAGCATGTTCTTAATTTGTTTGCTCTAATTATTATGCTGTATCAACATATGATCTACGTTCTTAAAAAGCGTAGTACTGAATGGAATACATACAATAGACGCACATTTTTTTCTTAAAAACCAAACGGAAAAAAGTATCAAAAACTGAAATGAACAAAGACTATATCTAGATATATTTAACACACACACAAATATTACTCACAAAACATATATATTGATAAATTTTAGATATATATATATTATATATATATATATATATATATATATATATATATATATATATATATAGAAGATAGGATAGAATTAGGTAGAGCTCAATGTCAAGGATAGAGCAAAGAATATAATATACAAATTCAAAATTTTTGAATTTGTAAATAAATAGTTGGATCGTGATTTGTAGTAATTACGTACATGTTCTGACGTAAAATAGTAAGATCATAAATATTTATTACTCTATTTTATATTGAGCTATGTTTTAAATTAATGTTTTGAACGTATATCAATTTTATTCTTCATTTTTTACATATATATATATATATATATATATATATATATAATTGTGTATATAGTATGTGTGTGTATAAACATATACATACATATTTATGTATAATTACTAAGATAGATATATATTGGGTTTAATTAATTCATAAAATATGCGTTTATAAAAGGTGCGATAAATTATCGTCTAAATGACAAAAAATGAAAAATAACATTGAATTTCATTTTAACTTTATATATTTACTAAAATTAAAAAATATCAAATGAAAAAATATCTATAAATAAATTCAATAAAATAAACATTGTCTTCAACCACTTATCATAGACATATTTCGGAATCTCCTGTATTTTATAGATGGTTAAATTTCAAATTCAACAAAAACATTTTTTGGTTTGATATGATCTCCGTGTTTCATTTTTTGAACCAACAAATTCGGGAGTTCTTTTCGTATGAGAACGATCAGAGTGAGTTTTCCGAGCTGGCGTACCTTCGCAATCAGCATTATTCTCTGCACTGTCCACAGATTGACACCCAAGTTGTCTGAAATGTTCGAATTGGAGCTTCCGGTGCGAATGCAAGGCAGTACGGCATGCCGTTTCCAAATTTCTGGCAGAGTGAATCGCGACATGGTTCTCTTTTTTAAAAAGACGGTTAATTTTTGAATATTACTTTGCAGTCGTAAAATCAAAGCAAATAATTTGCATATAAAAAATGAAAAACACATAAAATGGCGACTATTTACCCATAATTTATATATATATATATATATATATATATATATATATATATATCAGAGAAAGTAGAGAGAGATAAAGAGAAAGAGATTAGTAATTAAGACATAAATATGTATGTATATGTTTGTACATATTTCTAAAGAATTAATGGATTTTATTCTCTAATTTCACATATTTTTATTACTTCAATACGGGTTACCACTAAAAAAAGCATTTATATATATATATATATATATATATATATATATATATATATATATATAATATATATAGGTAGTTAATATTAGAAATATATATATATACATATAAATTTCCAAGAGGATAGAATCAAAGAGCTCAATGTCCAGCAAGAATATAAGATAAAAGTCTCAAACACCAATATTCCATGGTTATAATTTATTACATTGGAATCGTAATCACGATACAATTCATCAGACCTACAAATTCACTCACACACACACACATATAAATATATATATATATATATATATATATATATATATATATATATATATATATATATATATATATATATATATGTGTGTGTGTGTGTATTATTTATTCAAAAGCAAAGTTTCAATTTACAGTGTACGTACATCAGGCAGTGTATAACCTGACAAAGCCTGAAATCAAATGAAAGAGTGATAAAAATCGTAGAAAAGAAAACATTCAAATTCACATTGAAATTATACACCTTCATGAGGGTAATAAACTTTAATGTGGGTGATAAATAAAGTAGACGCATGCGTATCCGTATGCACATACACACACATGTATATGTGCGTTTGTGTCTGTATGCGTTGCACTGAATAAAACCATTATATAGTAAACATGAGAAATAACTTTCTTTCTTCTTTAAATAATATTACATAGTTGAAGAATCAAAATTTGCCACGTGCCACAGTCATTCCGTATGCCCTCAAGGATCTATTTACTAGCAATGTTTTGTGGGAGAAAATCTCGAAGGATCGCTTGGGTTCAAGCTCTTTAAACGAATAAACTCTTACATAAATGGGATATGAAATTTAAAAAAAAATTATTTGGTCGTTTATCTGCATAAATCCACGCTTTTGTGACAAGAATTGATCAACAAAACCGTAGCTTAACACGTAATTATTAACAGAGGTTTCATCTCAAATATTCACTGCATAGTGTGATTAATATTCAACATTGAATTAAGTGCATTGACAAAGTGCATTATATATGAAGATAGAAAATGAATTGTATAATTCTTGTGATTCATAAGATAGCATATACAAATGTCTGCTAACATGTATGTAAATACATATGTTGTCAGTAGAATTATTAACATAAATAATAATAATAATAATAATAATAATAATAATAAGAAGAAGAAGAAGAAGAAGAAGAAGAAGAAGAAAAAGAAGAAGGAGAAAATTGTTCGATTATCTGATGAACGTCTCTACTCTGAGTTTCATGGAATTACATCCGCTCCTCAGGAGATTTGATAGAATGGATGCGATTTCATGAAACTCAAGTAGAGATGCAGCTAAGTGAGCAAATTACTTCTTCTTCTTCTTCTTCTTCTTCTTCTTATTATTATTATTATTATTATTATTATTATTATTATTATTATACTATCCCTTGATATGACTATATTTACAAAGACTATTTGTTTTAAATACTTTGTCTTTCAGAATATCCCATGTTGACCGATTTTTGGCGAAATACAATCTTTGTCATCGATGCATATAATTCTCTAGCATTTCTGTCAAACGCAACCAACTAACACTGAACAAAATTTATGACAAAATAAATGCATTTGAGCAACATTTAATACTATTTTGCATTTTTACATTTCTGGTTACCCTCCCCCCACACACTTACATTAAGACACGTGCTTTGAAAAAACAAAACCAAAAAAATTGAAATTTGAAATAATTATAACACAGCATGTTCAAGCGTATTTTCAAAAATCACCATCACAACGATCGAAATTACAATAAGTTTGTATTTGCAATACACCACTGAGGATGAAAGTACTTGTGTTAACAAAAACTACGGTGTCTTCCTTGATGAATTTCAACTTAACATCAAGGAACTAATTAGAGAACTAGAAAGTATTATTATGAAAATAAATAGATAATATGTCTATATTATTAATTGGAACCTTATATATATATATATATATATATATATATATATATATATATATATATATATATATATATATATATATTGTTATGTATAGTACCTAACAACACTAATGGGTATGTCCCAATCCTCATAAATACTTTGGACACTATTGTAAGTGGTAATATGCTGTCTAAGTAGTCCACCACTAGCAGTGGTTTACCCACTTAACGCCACTGGAAGTATTGTATTTTGTTGATGTTATAAAGATTACCATTTCATTTCCAACCTCCGTTTTGGTTATTCTCATTCAGTAACCCTTTTCTCTAGGCTAATAATGTATATATATATATATATATATATATATATATATATATATATATATATATATATGTATGTATGTGCATGTAAGTAGTTATTTGATTTTTATCATGTTGGCCTACGACTTCAGAAGCGAATATGGACATTTGGCAATAGAGCATGAACATTTCTGCCAAAAACCCATAACTGCTTTTCATAGACGGTATATGATACAAGAGTAGGAGGCGGAGAGATATCAATGAGTTACTGTATGCGAGGAAAAAGTCGCAGCCATTGACATTCATCGATGGTTGCCGATGGTTTAGGGAGATGAAAAAGGGACGGGAGTAGAGTTTAAGCGGTGGGTAACACATTTTAGCAGATTTGACAGCAATGTGCATGAGAAGCCGCATCTCGGGCGGCTGTACACAGCTGTTGGTAAAAGAAATGAGAAACCTTTGTTCAATGCTGTCAAGCTAAATATTTCATGGCACTGTTGGTGACTATGTGGTAAAATAATCTTTTGCAGCTGATGTTGTGTTTTCTGCATTTGTTGTAGTTTCTGAGTAAGTATTTAACACTCCTGATGATAATAGATAAAAGTAACGTGTCCTTCATCGCGAATTACCTAATAAATAGCCATAATTGTGCCGCTAATTTCAGGGTGGACTCATTTACTATTCTTAGCAAGTCCCACTGGAATTATCACTTGAAAGTGTTGGAGGTCATTTATATTTTGTCTTTGAATCCTTCTCTGTGCAAACAGAAGGATTTCGTATTGGACCTCCAACTAATTTCCATCTAAGCAATATTTTATCCCCCAATACATATTGTCTATCTCTTTTTAGTAATAATTCTATTATAATATATTTAGCTCTGTTGAGTGAGATTCAAAACAGGTTAACTAGCCCATTTTTCAGTTTTACTTTTTATCTGTTATCATTATGAGTGGTAATAAGTATAAATGTTGTC